ATTTAATGCAAAGTTTGTTTAGTAATTTGGAATATTCTATATAAAAAAATAGATGTTGTATGAAAAGGTCAATGCACCTTTATTAAAGTTATTGGTCACATGATGTAGTAAAGGTCAAATGATTGTTTAGTATAAACACGTGTTTTGTCTTTATGTTAGTTTTGATTGGATGACATATATCCGCAATGTGGCTTTTACGGGTATATTCAGCTCATGTAATTCGTGTTAAGCATGACTAAATATTACTTAAAGGGTTCGTTGAAGCAATTGAATTTATTCGAAGTTTACCAATCAGTTTATGCAACAGCAGTTCGTAATTATGTTTACCCACGCACCCAACCTTTTTGAGTTGATTTTTTGTTTATGTGGGTATACATTTATATCAACCTAAAGTAATATGTATTTTTCTTCTTTTTGTCAATGAAAGTCAACCCGTAACCTTAACCAAATTTACCAAGGTCAAGGGATGATATTCACACAATTTTTGAAAGCTAACCCGCACAAACCACAAAATCACAAAAACAAAATATTCAAGTAAACGATAACTAAAAAATTGGCTCCTGTTGACCTTGAAGAAAGGTTCATGGCTGTTATAACGAATTTACTTCCATCCGCCCTCTTGAAGTGTTGTCGTAATCATCTAACACAAGCATGAAGGCGAAATATTTAATCATTCGAACTTTCTATTTGTATGATGTGAAATTTCATAATCATTTATCTCTATGAAAAAGAAGCTATAATTATATATTTTTGAGAATACTCAAAATGAATCTCTTTTTGGCAAGCAGTAACATCAAGGATTTTTAAAGTGCAAAGATTATATCGTTTTATTTCACTAAACAACTTATTAGTTACTATATTTGTTTAAACAAAAGTTGTTACTTTTTTCTTTTCAGTTACTGTATTATAAGTAATTTTCCAAATTCTCATGAACTTATTGAAATTAATTTTATAAATGAAGAATATCTGTGCTGAGATCAGAACTGATTTGCCTCTGGTATATATCTACACACAAGTTGTGCTGAAAGTTGAGAAAGCTCATTCACAATAATAGGTATAAATTTATTCCTTTTATTTCTTAGTCTTCCTTTATTTCACTTTTGTTAAGTTTTTTAAAAAATGAAAACAATACTTTACGTGTTGCTCAGTCTTTGCTTTTCAATGTTGTTTGTGTGTTGGTCTTTTTTTTTCTTTTTTTTGCCATGGCGTTGTCAGTTTATTTTTGACTTATATGTTTGAATGTCCCTTTGGTATCCTTCGCCTCTCTTTTTATAAATTGCATGCGTCGAAATTTCTTTTCTGGATGTATCTTCATAACGAATGCTCAAAGCCGAATGATCGAAACTTGATTGAATTCTAATATGACGTTCTTCTTTCGCTTTGGAAACAAAGCCATGTCATAATTCTAATAGAGCATGGGCTGCGTGATTGACGTCACAATTGAAATTGCAACGTCAGATGTGTTTTAAACAATGTCGGAGATCAAAATGGACATTTGGTGTTGCTTGTTAGGAAATTAAATAAAATCGTTCTAAAAGTAAGTTAATATGTATCTGTTTATGGTTTATCGTCAAATGGGTTATTTTCTATAACGTTGGGTTCATCACATCAAAATGGCTGCTTTACGAACGTGTCTTGTAGGTCCTCTTCGAAGTATAAATGTTCTTAATTTCCCTATTATAATTTTACACCTATGACGCCCTTATTTCGCTTTGTAAACAAAGCCGTGTTCTAATTAGCACAAAATATGTTTGATACATGCGCACAAACTTAATTACTGCTTACATTCTCGTTATTTTCATTTTTATCCTAATAAAAATATATATTTTAGCTGCTTACATAAAACTTAATTATATATTGTTATCAAAACATCATATATTTACCCTGCTTTTAGTTTTTAAACTTATCAAATATGAAAATGTCATGTGCATATTTCATGTGGAGGAAACGGGAACAGCCAAACATTTGGGGCCCTTTATAGCTTGCTGTTCGGTATGAGCCAAGGCTCCGTGTTGAAGACCGTACTTTGACCTATAATGGTTTACTTTTATAAAGTTTGACTTGGATGGAGAGTTGTCTCATTGGCACTCATACCACACCTTCTTATATCTATTCGTAAGGTATTTTCGTACGCTTCGATCTATAAAAATACCAGTATTTGTCCTATTAGAATCGAAATGATTCCTCGATGTCATGATCTATGATCATTTTAACAAGGGTAGTCTAATCTGATTGGTTCATCAAATAATGCGTCAACAACAGAACCATACTCTAATTGGTAACTATTTTTAAATATCTTTAGTTAGAAAGGGAAAAATACTAAAAATCATAATTTGGTAGATATTCTTAGAGGTAATTGATATCTTGATTTATTTGTTATAATTAAATTCATTTTTTACTGTTTTTAGCTTTAATTTTTACTAGCTCGTCAGAAAAGTACACTGCAGCTTTTACTTGTCCATTGTTGCCTGTTAATTGTGCAATCACAGCAGCTTTAATGTCGAAAACTTAGTGTCATTTGGAGAATAGCTATTTGTATGGATTTCCAACATATCTGTATGTTAAACTATTATTCCACAGAAGAGACCTTTGTTTTCGGATAGGCACCAGGATTCAAAAGCAGTAGAGTAACAAACTAGTTGCATGGCTTTGACTTAAAAATATGATATGGTTTCTGAGAAAATGTATGTACATTTTTCTTTTATGGCTTTATCAATATTATGTTTCACTGTGGTGGCCATGTTCATGTGGTGGTACAAACAAGTTTTATTTTATTGTGTGTCTGGAAATGTTTTCGGCACAGGCTCCAAATGCCTGGTTGAAGTTAAACAAAAGAACCTTGTTCAAATAGATGAATATTTTTTACACAAAGGTAAATACAATCTATTTGTCCATGATTATTGATTTCTAGGAGGAAAAACGTAATATGAAACATTATACTATCATGACTTAAGCAGTTAAGTACATTCATTGAATTTGAAAAAAAAGATATATCTTGCATTACCTTTGTTATATTTTCAAATAACTGTGACGTTGTTATGTACATGAGATCAAAGTTACTTTCAATTTAGAATTTAAAAGACAGTAATGTCAGAACATTCAGTATAACTAATTAAATAAACACATAGCTGGGAGGTTGATAGAATAGATTGTTACCCCTCGAATAAACATTGACAACCTTGGCCCCTCTCAGCTATGTGTTATTTATATGGCTTATTCCTCCTATTCCTACCTTTTAAAATCTGGTATGTCATTTGAAAGAAATCCATGTCGGAATAGGAGGAATACTTGAATAAACAAGGGGTTAGATCAGATTAGGTTGGAAAAAAAATAACGCTAATTATCTTCAGGTAAATATCCATAAAACCTCTTGAGTTTTCATCGATGTACAATTTCAGAGTCCATTTAAAATTATCAATAGTAGAAAATGCCAAAAAGAAAGTTCTAACAAATGCATGTTCTTGTCTCATTGAAATTGTCCTGTATCTTATTCTATTTTTTAAATATTTTTCTATCTTTTTTTTTTTAAACTTTTGTGTTTATTTCCTTGTAAAATGAAAAGTCTTTGTCATTGAGTGAATCCATCAAAATTAAATCAAAACAAATCGGTACAAGGTCCCCAAAAATAGAGTTTTCTAATACATTGATGTAGCAGTTAATTTAAGCAACATATTGTACTTTTAGCATTACTTAAGAAATAACTCATGGGGGCTTGAATTTATTGTGATTTTACCACGAGGTGGCCCTTTATGCAAAATATTTTACCATAAGCGATTGCGAGTGGTAAAATATCAGCATAAAGGGAAAAATCGCTCACGGTAAAATATTTAGCATAAAGGGCCAACCCGTGGTAAAATCACAATAAATGCAAGCCCCCATGAATTATTTCTTAAATCATAAAACATATTATCCTATACATAAAAGACAAAAAATCAAAATTACTGGACAATATTATATGTTTAGATATGAAGTATGAGAATTTATCATAAATCAGTCCATATAAAGCAAGAATTTAAGACTTTTTTACCTTTCTTTCCGCTTCGTTGGTACCCAATTTCCGGTGGCGATTTTCACAGTTCTTATAGTCCCTAGTGTGGACAGTGTATACATGCAACTTGCATTTTTTTCTTATACCTTCCAAATTCCTTCCTTTACATTTTATGAATAAAATGATAAAGAGGCGGATGAAAAGTATTTTGGACCTACTGATTTTAAAATGGCCTTCACTCTGTCAATGAAAGGCTTTTGCGCGTTAAATGGGACATACCAAAGGTCGAATCACACACCTAGTCGATTTCTTAAATTATCTTTCATTGTTCAACTTTTATTATTCATTCGTTCATTTCTTAATTTGTGTTAATGTTGATTACAGCAATGTTTTATATACCACAACAAAACACTTACAGCATCGTACAATTTTCACTTATAATTTTATCCACATAACAAAAACCTTGAAACACGAATAATTCTGCCAAATTCTTTTCATTTTAAATACTAAAGAATCATAGTTCATATTCATACAAATTTTTCTGTTATATAACTCCAACCAGGCCTTGGAGGGTCTAGGAAGAAGACATTTTCAAAGAAAGAATTAAAATAACACACCAAAAATGTACTTTCTAGCTCATTCCAGGTATTGTCATCACTTAGAACTATTAGACATCTTCTAAGAAACAATTTCAAACATATAAGCGAATCTTTCACTAAAGATACTGGAATGATCCTAAAATTATTTACATTTTTGTGGACAAACCAAAGTAAGAAATTACCACCACTATGGAACATAAATAGAACCATATAAGAAGTACAGACAAACAAGTTCTCAAAAACCATCTCGCATATTAAAGAAAATCACATCATGCAGCAATACACCTAATGTGTTCCTCTCCTGTCCACACTTAAACATAATATAAAACGTAATAAGCTAGAGTAACACGTGATGTAAGGTAAACTTAGTAGTCTATAAAACATCAGACGTAATAGTTTCGTTTGATTCCAGAGCAGAACTTTTCGAAAGGTTAGTAACTTATATTTGTTTTATACTTGTGATGTGGCGGGGCATACCTTTGACAAATTACATTTTAAGTAAGATAAATATACTGAACAAATAACAGTTAACATGCAAATATAATAGTAAGTATTTATGAATTCAAGAAAGTAACATATTGGCTTATGGACAATAGAGTCTTCACGAATGAAAATAATTTTCAATGTATTCTTGCGGATAGTAAGAACAATCAAAATTGAAAGCGGCGGTGGTCTTTAATTGGTTTATTGATTAATTAATTAGAACGTGTGGTTCTCATTTTGCTCCAAATGATTTCTAAACTTGCTTACTGTTCATTACGTCATTCGCTTAGCCTGCGAAAGGGATTATCGCTGTTTTTTCTGTGCGTGATATTCAAAAAGAATTTGAGTCCCGTATTTCTTTTTAACCAAAAGACATTCTGTTTCGAACTCACTTTCTGGTACTCATACTTCAACTTGTCTTTCAGATATTCCGGCATAGTACCCTACTGTCTTTTATTTTTTTAATCTCTCTCACAGATATAAATTCTAAAGTACGAACAAATAACCATGTAAAAAATGTGCCATTACTCACAGACCAAACACATACTAGGGCTATTATCTATATGCAATAGGACAGTCATCATGGTAAAAAGTGATTTTTTTTTAAAAATTATATGCAATATTTAAAAAAAACGATAATTAGTATTTCGTTTAAAATTAAGTTTATGTCATTTTTATATTTATGTACATTCTAATATATTTCATTTTGTTTTCTATAGTGTATATGCAATTTTGTTCTGGTGCATTTGTTAAAGCTTATTATGGTATTTTCTTGACATGGCAGTTTTTATTTAACGTATCAAATAATAAAGAAACAGTACTTTCATTTTTTTTCTTCTTGACAGCCGTTTCCAAATAAGAAATTACAAAACAAACTGACAAGCTACTAAGGGGACAGTAAATAATTAGAAGCCGGAGAATCAGTTTCTAAAATCAATGAACCGTTTCCAGGAGTGTTACCGTATTCCTTTCTGTGCTTTAGCGCTTTATAACTTCCATGTCTCATCTCGACACCGATTTGTACAAATGTTTGGTTGCAAGTTTGTAAAATAGCGTCTGCATCATTTTATGAAATAAATGTACAGTTAGGCTTTAAAACAATAACTTACGTTAGTTTTCATGATTCTCATATTTTAATGTTTCAATATCTCCTTTTTATTATGTTAATTTTTATATCCCGTCTTACTTTTCTTCAATCTAACGGAATTCGAAATTCTCTATTTACTGTAACCTGATGTTTTTTTTTAAGGCAGTGCCTATATGCCCTTTAATGGTACACAGGCAAATTTTGTTCACGTGAATTTAATGTGAAATTAACGTGAATTTCACGTGAAAAAATTCATGTGAATTTCACGTTAATCGAGCTTATACGCGTAATTCACGTGAAATATTTCACGTGAATTTCACGTGAATTTCACGTTAAACTCACGTGATTTTCACGTGAAATACTGATTCACGTGAAATTCACGTGAATTGAGCCTTCACGTGAAATTCACGTGAAATTAACATGAATCGAGCTTCTTTTTTTTAATGAAATTAAAGTGAATTCAGCCTCAATCACACTAATTTCACAGGATTTGAGCTTATTTATGTAAGTCAATTCTAATCTAATACAAATTCTGTTTTGATATATATATAAACATGAAAAATATTCTTCTTGGTCTGGACCATGTGTTCATACTTCCATTCTGTTTTACTTTCTTTGGTTTCCAAAATTTTTTGGTCTTAAACAAAGAAGGCAAGCAAATGCATCACAGGATATAAATTATATCCAGGGCACCTTAGTTCACTCCTAGAACTTTTTTGGTTGTGTTGAGTCTCAATCCTTTTTTGTAAATGATTTATGGACTGTGGTCATTTATAGAAGTTGATTGCACTGATGTATATTTCATTTGAGTTGATTTTTATTATGTTTGTATAAGTCATATTGTGTGGTCATCAGTTTTGACACAAACCAATCACATTATGGAAAAGACCTACTTGCAAAAGATGCCAATTCTCTTTAAGAAGGTTTTGAAGAAAAAAAACTAGTTCACCTCGCCACATATTCATGTACCTGCTTAAAGCCAGAAACCTTTTCAGTGGTTGTCAAAAATCTCGTCTTAATAAAAAAAAAATATTCAGAGAATTTGGTGTTGATGGCTATTCTTGATTCATATTGTAATTTTTTTTATAGCCTCTGGTCAATTAAATAGATCATGGCATATCTTTTAGACACCTGTCTTTTGTTGAGGACTGCATGTTAGCACCTTAATGCCTTTCAGGTGTTTTTGTTGTTATATTGCTGGCTGATTGATGTATACCTCATGTCTCATTGTACTAATAAACTAAAATAGAAAGTTCTGTGAAATATAGCTGATATACAAATGTACCATATTGAAAGGCTCTCTGTAATTTACAACCATTTACTTCTTATTTCATATATGCAAAAATAGTTTTTTTCTCATTTTAACACTGATCTTAAGGTTAAGGCAAAATGTTGACAAACAACAGGCATATACCATTAAAAGATCTCAAAGTTTGGCTGCACAATAAGCTAAAAATTCTTGTTATTTCATTTTTTTATATAAAATTCATTTTAAAACATGCATTTTCATTTTTTTACTGTAACTTGTATGTTGACACAATAATTTGAATTTGAATTGTATTATATTCTGAAAGTACTTGTGGTTGAAAAAATATACACAATTGTTAATTCCAGTTGGTTTACGTTTCTTGAAAACACCACTACTATGACTACATGTCTGTTAATAATGTTTAAGAGTCCTCTTCTGCATATAATTGCTATTTGTACCCAAGGATTCCTTCATACATTTGCACTTCTCCTCCTAAGATGTTGCTCCAATGATAAAATCCTGTAATGCATACTTAGCAATCAGACTCTTTGAATACTTCCTACAGTTCCTGTAATATAATAAAATCAGCATGTTTGTTTCTGTAGTCAAGCAAAAAAGATAACACCAATTTAATCTCCAATGATTTACCAAACTTATAATTAGGAGACAACTGTTTTGTATTTTAAGCTCAGACATGATCAATTGGTGATTTGATGGTGATTTACCCAGTAAAACCCAGTAATTCCCACTGGGCTGGGCAATACTCATAAAACCCAGGTTTTTGCCAACCCTGTTTCAGGACATTTTGTAACTCGCTATGCTGTATCAGTTTTGCTCATTGTTGAAAGCTGTACATATGATCATTTATAGTTGTCAATATTCAGTCATTTGGACTCTGGTGGATAGTTGTCTCATTGGCAATCATACCATGTCAAATTTTATAATAAATTACTTATGAAAACAAACCATATTCATGTATGTGTACTACACATTACCTGTATATATAAGTATATTTAGTGCCTATAGAAACACAACTCATCATTTTCAAGCCCCCTTCTTACATGTCTTAGCCCCATTTAAATTACAATACTAACACAGTATGTTTATGGCTCTATGCATTCTGGAAACATCTGGTTACCTGATACTTTTCCAGTTAAGAAATTTGTGATTAGCTTCCATAGGGGTATAAATCAAAACTCCAAATGCTCTGAAAATTGATAATCTAGCAGACTGTACATTTTTTAATTACCTCTGCAACGGAGGTGTGGCGGTTCATTATGGTTGAACTTTGCCATGTTAACAAGTTGTACCTCCAAAACTGTAGGAGGAGATAGCCAGACAAACAAAGTATCCTCATCCGGACGGACAGGGGTAAATTGATATTATTCCCCCTCGACTGTTGCTGGGCATAACTACATGTGCTGTAGCATGTGTAAGGGGACCAGAATTGTGTTTTTATTGGCACTCAGTATAAATTTATATAAAATAGATATCACAAGAGACGAGTAAACACGCTGAAATGTCTTGCATGTTTTACTATTCATGATATATTTTATGTTGATTGTTCTAAACATGCTAAAGATATAATTTTACTATAAGTATGATATATAAACTTAACATAACCAATGATCCATGAAAAAAATAATGTCAAGCAAATAATGCCATGGTCAGAAAAATCAAGCCAGACAGACATGTGCACCTTACAATCATTGCCTACCCCAAATATAGCTGATCTGTTAATTGATTATACATGTAGCTTGTATAGTATACAACAAACAGTGGCAAATCCAGAAATTTTCATAAGTGGGGGCCCACTGACTGCCTAAGAAGGGGCCCGCTCTGGTCAAGCTTCAGTGATTCCCTATATAATCAACCAAATTTTTCCCAGAACAGGGAAGGGGGGAGGCCCCCTGCCCCCCTAAATCCGCCTCTGCAAACAGACCAAAATATGAAACTTATTATTGACTAATGAACTATGAATATCAGGTCATGGTAAGATGAACCCTGCCCAGACAGATATGTACACCATACAATCAGTTGCAGACAAGACAAAAATGGCCTAATTCATGAAAGCAGTTATTGTTTAATCTTGGTCAAGCTATTTTGATAATTTTCCTCAAACTACAAGCATAACATATATACACATGGGAATATTAATATGAAATAAGGATTGAAATCTAAGGAAATCCAGAATATAAAATTCTATTCTCATAAATTTACATGGACTGAAAAGGGGTAAACAAATCTAACTACATGCCTATTCCATACATGTATATATAGCAGATTAACTTTTCCCTTGATCTGTTGATTGATAGTGTTTTTTTATTTTGTCAGTTTGCGTGGACTCCTTTTTAAATTTGCACAGGATTCGGCATTTTTGTTATACAATTTTGACAGAAAATACTGTAACAAATACATACCAGTTACATGTACTGTATCTATAGGGTCTCCACTACATGTATATCTAATCAAGTCATTCATTTCATCGAAACATATAACATGTATAACTTCACTTCCACTTACATCTGGGGAGCTAATTCTGAAAATTTAAATTCCAGTGATTATTATAAATATAAGACCTGAACCTGATCATGCTGATGAACTGTTTTCCAAATAAAAAAATGGCAATACCACTGAAAATTCATTTAGATATATGTCAAATTCACACAGGCAATTGTTTTAAATAAATGTTGATAGTGTCCACATGAGGACACAGATGATGCCCCTGCTTGCATATCATATTGTTATAAAGGGACATAACTGAAGAACGGTAAAAGTGATGCTACCCAAATTTGAACTTGATCTGATTTTTGTGGTAACAAGCATTGTATGTAAGTCTCATAACATTAGGTTGAGGCTAACTTAAGTAGAAAACAGAAACTAAAAATTCAGCAATTTTTCTATTTGTAAACACGCATAACTCTAGAACGGTTGTGTATAAGTTTCATAACATTTGCTTGAGGCAAACTTAAGTTAGAGAACGGAAACTAAAACTTTTGCAATTTTTCCATTTCTAAAGGGCATAACTCTAGAACGGTTAAAGTGACGCCACCAAAATTAATTCAAATTTGATCTGTGTTTTGTGGTAATAAGAATTGTGTATAATTTTCATAACATTTGGTTGAGGCAAACTTAAGTTAGAGAACGGAAACTAAAAATTTTGCAATTTTTCCATTTATAAAGGGGCATAACTCTAGAATGGTTAAAGTGACGCCACCAAAATTAATTCAAACTTGATCTGTGTTTTCTGGTAATAAGCATTGTGTATAAGTTTCAAAACATTTGGTTGAGGCAAACTCGTTAGAGAACGGAAACCAATTTTGGGACGTACGTACAGACGGACAAGGGTAAAACTTAATGCCCCCACCGCTACGGCAGGGGCATAAAAATATTCACCAAGAGAGAAAACAATTAATTTTTCTTTTAACCAATAAGTGAACATCACTAGCAAAATGACTAGTACTAAATTTCTAGATTGAACTGTTGCGCATTTTGTCAGGATCTTTAACAGCTGAGTAAACAGTATTGTTCTGTTCATTGTTGAAGGTCTTAAAGTGGCCTAAAACTGCTTACATCCCCTTCATTTTGACCGTGGCTGATCATGAAAGTTTTCTTATTGGCAATCCTACCACATCTCCTTATTTTCAAATTACTAAAAATTATCAATCTGCAACAATTAAATTCTATTTATATACACAGCTACTTTTGCATAGGTACTATTTCTGTACCAAACATATGTAGTACTGGAAATCTACTTTTAATATTCAGTACTATTTTGTTACTTTAAAATTAGTGCAATATTTAGGAAACTTTATTTTACAGTAGCAGTGTACATGTACATTGTATATATATTGATTAAAGGTAATCTGATCATCACTATGAAGCAATGTTCAAAACACTCTGCCATTATCAGAAATCAAATTTATTTAAAGTCCAATGACAAAGTATATGTGCAAAACACTCAAAACTTGTGTTAAGTACCACAATCTGACAGAATTCATACATATACACAATCAGTGAGGCATAAAATGAAGGTCAAAAAGATATATTTTTTGTTGGATGCTGCATCATCATTATTAGTTAAATGAATGCAAGACATTGAGTACATGTAGTTACTAGTAGTAGTACTAGTACATAATATTTGAACTTAAAATAAAGGATAATCTGATTTTTATCAGTCTCTGATCAGAAATAAAGCCACACAACAGCGAAATATATGTATCAGAGATGCACATACAATCATTGAATATATGTTTAAGATTAATACTTAGCATTGGCTGTCAACGTACATTTTTTGGTACATGTAAAAATGGACTGTCTGATAGGCACATAGAGATTGGACACTACATGTAGGTTACTTCATTAATTCCAGTATCAGTCATTATCAATAGTCAACTCCTCTGCCCATACCTTGTAATACTGCTGAAAGGGAGAAAACAGTACATTTGTGGACGCAATACTATTCAAAGAGTTTTGCAAACAATTTGCTTATAATATACATGTATTTCTTGCTATATGTATTTATATTAAACTTAGAATTGTACTATCAAATATCAACTAGAGGCTCTCAAGAGCCTGTGTCACTCACCTGTATCCACTGTTGTTTTGAAAATCATAATTAATAGTATTAGATACCCTTTTAATGATTTTATTAAATTTGGTCCAGTAGTTTTAACTAAAAGTAGGTCATCCCATTGTAGTCTTACAACAGTAACTGAAGACCCCTTGTCATTATTAAATTAGTTTTCAAGTTGTAACCATTTGAAATTGATTGTTTACAATTTCCCCTTAGACTGTATGGGATTTGCTCATTGTTGAAGGATGAACTGTGACCTGTAGTTTATGTTAACTTCTACATGTATGTCATTTAATCTTGGGTGAAGGGAAATTATACCATATCTTCTTTTATCTATATATTAGTTCAGGTGTATGAACATATACAAATGATGTACAATGTATATTATTCAAGACTTAAATGTTTGCAAACCAGAAAATCCTTCTTTTATTTTGGCCCCAAATTATTAAATGGTTTACATGGTTTAGTCTGTTACCCCAAAAATTAATCCAAACCTTCTTTTGAGGTATGGAACCTACAAATGACCTATTAAGTAGTACAATTTTATAGTTATCCTACACTTATACACAATTTATTGCCATGAAACATGAAAAATGCTTGTTTTGGACCATAATTCCTACATTTGTCCTAAACAGTTTCTGCTATAAATTAAAAATCATCTGAACTGAAACAAAATTTGAACTTGATATGCAACTTGTCATGGTAAAAATACATGTATACAATAATCATGAAAATTATCAGATCAATATCTTCAAGCATATATAACAATAAAATGCTCTGCTGTGCGCAGCTTGATACGACCTCAGAGGTCGAACCCTGAACAGTTGGAGCAAGTATGGACACAACATTCAAGCTTGATACAGCTTTGGATTGTGATTAAATATTTGACACAGCATAGGTTTCTGACACAGAATGAATGTGGTCAAAGAACTTAAAATTTTTTAATTTACCTATTATGGTCCAATATCTAAAATCTAAATACATACACGGTTAGATTCAGCATATCAAAGAACCCCAAGAATTCATTTTTTGTTAAAATCCAACTAAGTTTCATTTTGGACCCTTTGGACCCTAATGTAGACTAATTTGAACAAGAGGCTGTCAGAAAGACAGCAAACCGGATTTTCCTGCAGAGGTCGAACCCTGAACAGTTGAGCAAGTATGGACACTACATTTATACTTAAAACAGCTCTGAATTTGGATTGTGATTGAATATTTGACACATCATAGGTTTGTGACACAAAATGAATGTAGTCGAAGAACTGATATATTTGAAATTGGACATTTAAATACCTATTATGGTCCAATATCCAAAATCTAAGTACATATTAGAATCAGCATATCAAAGAACCCCAAGAATTCAATTTTTGATGAAATCAGACAAAAGTTTAATCTAGGACCCTTTGGACCCTGATTTGGACCAACTTGAAAACTGGGCCTACAAATCTAATATCTAAATAGAGTTTAAATTCAGCATTTGAAAGAACCCTATATATATATTTAATTTATGTTGAAATGAAACACAGGTTAATTTTATCCATAATATTTTCTGTGCAAATGGAAATAACTCAAACTGGATAAATAGTTCTCTAAAATAAGATATGATGCATTTTTTCAAATTATAATCAATAATATAATAACAACAACCAGTGATGACTAATTAATATAAGTTCTCTAAAATTAGATATGATTTAACACTCAAACATTGTTAGAATCAGCATATCAAAGAACCAAAGAATTCAATTTTTGATGAAATTAAACAAAAGTTTAATTTAGTACCCTTTGGACCTCAATGTGGTATTATCTTATTAATAATGAAAAGCTCGACCGTTTACAAGTTCTTAAACAGGAGGGGGTGGGGGTGACCCAAAGGGACTCGCCTTATACCCCCATGGATTTCATTTGATTTGTTTTATTGTCCCATACAAGAATATATATGGTTTCGGGGTGGAGATCTTGACCCTTTACAAGTTTTCAAAAAAAAGGGGGTGGGGGTGACCCCAGGGGACTCGCCTAAAATTTTGAGGCAATTACCCCCAAAATCAATCCTAGCATTCCCTTTGTGATATGGAACCTTGTGGTACAATGTCAGAGAGATCCATACACTAACACACAAGTTATTGTCTGGAAGTTACAAAAATGCTTATTTTTGGCCCCTAATTCCTTAACTGTTGGTACCATAACCCCCAAAATCAATCCCAACCTTCCTTTTGTGGTATCAAACCTTATGGTAAAATTTCATAGAGATCCATTCACTTGAACTAAAGTTATTGTGTGAAAACCAATGTGTCTTCGGACGAAGACGACGACGCCAACTTCATACCAATATACGACCGCAAAATTTTTTAATTTTTTGCGGTTGTATAAAAATGAAAGTAAAAAACTGATTGTTTGCGTGAATGTAGCTCTGCAAAATTAAAACAACTTAAGTTATTTTTTCTGAACAGAATATATATTGAACTTGATCTGTGAACTTGTCATAATGTATACATATCTAAATATTATTGTTTATAATAATATTGTTTGTTTGCTATATGCCCTTCTGGGGCCCTAATTTGGTGAATAAAAATATTCTATTCTATTCTATATATAAGGGCGAGGGTTTGGATTCCCCTAACATGTTTAACCCCGCCACATTCTGTATATATGTGCCGGTCCCAAGTCAGGAGCCTGTAATATTAATTCAGTGGTTGTCCTTTGTTGCTTTGTTACATATATATTTGTTTTTAGCGTTCATTTTTTATACATTAATTATGCCATTAGTTTTCTTGTTTGAATGTTTTACATTTGTGATTTTGGTGCCTTTTATAGCTGGGTTTGTGGTATGGGCTTTGCTCATTGTTGAAGGCCATACGCAACTATTATCAGCACCCGCTTTGCGCATGCGTCAAATTTGACCACAATCGATATCGATAAATTTACTATAGATTGTTAAAGGAAATCTTAAATTTTGATTAGCTGTCTGTAAATATCATTAAATTTCTTTTTAATTGGCATCAATTTTGAAAGTTCAATTTATAAGCTTTCTACAGATCTAATTTGTATTTTGATAAGGATTGCAGAAGTTAGGGCCTTTTTCAATTAAAGAACACCGGGTGCATGACCTATTACATTGTACTTCATACAATACGAAACCAAAAATGTGTGCACATGGGTTTTCTTTAATGAATTGACATAAAATCTTTATTAGAAACAGCTTCATTCGCATGTATATTTATTCTCTGGTTTTAAATCTATCCAACAATATAAATTTCATATTTTACAATTTTTTTTTAATCAGGGCCTTTTTTATTCAAAAATCGAGATGCGATCATTTTTTTAAGTTGACCAGAAATAATCTAAGTCAAACCAGGTAAATATAATATTCATGGATAAATAATTAACACATGACAATGTGATAACTTCTGTTATTCTCAGTAGACATGAGTTGTTTGTGTTTTTTTTTCTTTGACGGTTTAACAATGTTTAATAGCCTCTTTCTTTTCAAGTTTACTTTATAAATTGTAAATTTCAATGCACAAAAGTTTCAAATGAGAAAAAAAAAAATATTCTCCAAGATAAACCAATTGCCAAAGTCTTAAAAGAATAAGACAAGGGCAGCATATGTGCCAGTGTGGACTATATACTAAAATATTTGTATATAGTAATGCTAATTTAAAGATTACAAAACGGCAATCGCTTAAAATTGAAATAAAATATTTTAACAGTTTAAGAAACAAAATTTTAGATACATACATGTACATGTGAATTTACTAGTCTATTGCTTGTTTGATGCACATTCTCCTTTTATACACTTAACTTGTAGAAAAATAAATCGCATTGAACAAAATAAATATTATTTTTAATTTGTCTCCGTCCTTTCAAAAGATTCTATCATGAAAAAAATTTAATTTTGCAATTGAACATTTATGTAAAATATTTATTAAAAAGGAAACTTATTCTAATTATTTTTCTGTTAATGTAAAGTTTACGGAGAGCTGTCTCATTGGCACTCATACCACATCTTCTTACATTTACAAAATTTATAAAAAAAAAAAATGTATATTGTACATGTATTTGCAGTATTTGAAATTTTTAATTTATCAAATGAATAAGATAATTGGAATCGTTAAAATTCAGAATTATACTTGAAAACAGATGCCTGCGACCCCTGTTGTTTCGATTAGCATGTTTTCTAAAGATATCCGTGTGAAGTTCACAAATTTCAACATGTATTTGGTCACCTGGTGTGAATTTCAGATAAAATTGTCAAGTTCAAATAATATATTATTATCTGGGCAGGGTACTCCCCCCCCCCCCCCCTTTTTTTATATTATACTCTGAACATTATTGTATACACTTTTTCTGTGGGACTTTCTTTATGTAAAACAAGATAAAAATCTACGTTGTCTCATATTCGGATTTACGTCGAAAGAAAGGTTTAAGATATATCAAAATCGAACAACATCGTGTGAACATTTCTATTGATGACTATAGTGAATCATTTTTCGATTATGTATTTTGTTATTACATGAATTACATCTATCCATATTTTGATTGTCAACTCATTGCATACTTCTCTAAAAATGATGTTACTGAAATCAAGAATATTATATCTAATATAATATAACCTCACAATTACAACCCTCTTGCTTTTGAAATTGTTAAAGAACAATTTTAATTTTAATATGTAAGTGCTTTTATAAACTATAACAAGCCAACGATTTAATGATAGATATATATACATGTATATATGTTTGGTTATCATAATCTCGTATTTGTCCTTTTT